CCCCAGCGACGTGGCGGCCCGGGCGGGGCTGAGGCTGCCCCGGCGGTGAAGACGGGGGTGCCCTGCTCCCCGCCACGCTCCGGTGGGTCTCCGCTGCCGGGATGGTCTGGGCAGGGGGGAGGGAGGCACCGAGGTGTCCCTCGGCAGTGCCACAGGGCTTGGCGTGCGGCAGGGACCTTCGGGAGCAGTGGGGGGACGTGGGGGAAGACAGGGGCTTCCTCCCCGCTTTGCCCGCACTGGGAGTGGGTGGGCAGAGGCAGGTGGGAGGTGAGCCCGTGTGGCGGTGAGTCCAGCACCTGGCGGGGGAATGGGCAGCTGCGGGTGCCATGTCAGGAGCTGTTGCAGGTGCTGGGATGCCTGTGTGTCTGTCTGTCCAGACACAGCTGGCTTGTGTCCACACCATTCAGCCTAGCCTGGGTAACTTTTCAGCACCGACGGTGATTGTAACCCGCAGTGGGTGCAGTTTCCTTTTTGCCCTGGGGTGCTGCAAAAAGAGGCACCCAAAAAGAGGCACCCAAAACCGTTGCCAGGTATGTCAGCCGCCCCACAGCCCGGCCCCCACCTGGGGGGCTGCCCCGTGGTGGAGGTACACATGGGCACAGCCCTGAAAGGACATCAGAGGGTCAGAGCAGTCCCAGATGTTTGTGCCCCAGCACAGCGTGGTGGGGCCATGGTGTGTGATGGGGCCGGGGTTCACAACCATAGAAGGAAAGACAGAGGGAGGAAGGGGCATCCCCCTCCAAAGGCACCGGCAGCCAGGGGCATCTGCACGGCTCTCCATGCGCGGGCACATCCACCGGACACGCGCAGGCGGGCACCGCCAGGCACGGACGCCTGCCAGGGTGCGCAGGGATGTGACCTGTGTGCCCCAAGATGGCCCATGGGCGGCACCTCTCCCTGCTCCCCACACGCACACACACACACGCACATGCACACGCATGCACACGTGTGTACGCACACACACAGAGAGGGGACGGCGCTTGCTCTGCCTCTGCACCGTGGGCTGACAGCCAGGAATCGCGGTGCCGGAGGAGAAAAGGTTTCTCACGCCTCTGCAAGCGGAGCTGAAGGGCAAATGGCTTTTGACGAGCCAAAACCTTCCCGATTTCCTCCCTCCGGGAAAGCAGAAGGAGGCCTTGCAATCCCCTGAAACCAATAAATACCTAGGGGAAGAGAGAGTGCCCTTTCTTAGCCCTGCCAGAGCGAAGCCAGGAAGGGTTAAATATCCCCCTCCCTAAACAAGCAGAGATGCTGAAACCACTGGGGAATTGGGAGGGAAAGGGGCAAGAAAAGGTCTGTGTGGTGTGTGGAGGGAGGAGGGGTGCGGGTGTATAAGGGGTCCCCTCTGGGACACGGGGGGCCCATCAGCGGCGACCCCTCCGTCCCCATGGCCGTGCCCACCCAGGCGGAGAGGCTGAGGGGGCCTGGGATGGAGCCGGGGCCTGGGATGGAGCCGGGGGAGGGTGCGCGGGGGGAGATTTTGCGGCGATGTTTAATATTCAGGTCACATGACGATGGCAGCAGGAGCAGCACCAGCATCTCCGCTCCGCTGAAATAGCCACTGGAGAAGGAGGGGAAGGAAAGGGGGGGAGAAGAGGACACAGGGAAGAAAGAGAGAGGTAAAAGCGGAGAGCCTCATAGCCCACCACATCGCATCAGCGTCAGGCTAGAAAAGTGGGGTGAGACCCACCCCTTTGGGAGAGGATTCGGAGACAAAGGAAGCTTCATGTTCAAAGGTAGGATGCTCTGGGCTTGGCAGGGCTGGGCGATGCTGGAGGGACGCCACTGGGCTTTTTGTGCAGGCACCCTCCGCCGTGCCCCCCATGCTGCCCAGCTCCGGCCACGGGGGAGGAATAACCCCGATGAACAGCGGGGGAAATCGGTCCAGGCTTTGTCTTTCCTCTTTTTTTTCCTTTCGGTGGCAGCAGTCTGGCATGAAGGAGGAGCAGGGCTGGTTGTGGTGCTGATGGGGAGTAGCTGGCGCCAGGGGCTGCTCTGAAAGAAAGAGATAATCCCAGCTGGTCCAGGGCTGGGGGAAGCCCACAAGCTGCTCAGGCAACTGGCTTGTCCCTTGCCAGTGACAGGCAGTCGCTGCGGGGGCAGCGGGGACGTCCTGTGCCGCTCCCTGGGCACCTGCGCAGGAGCCAGCAGGTGGGCAGGGAGCCCTGGCACTGGGGGGCAGGTGGGCAGGGGGCAGGCAGCTGCGGTGGCACGGGTCCCCTGGTCCAGGGGTGCTCAGCAGCCTCTCGCCTTGTGATACAGCCGTGCCGCCCAGGCAGTGAGCTGGGGTATGGGGTAAGGACTGCACGGCCAGGGAGCAGCACTGAGGGTACAGCCAGGGCTGAGGCAAGCATCTAACCCTGCGGCAGCTGGGCTGGGGATGTGCTCAGCCCCTTCGCCTCCAGCTCCTGCATCTCCAGAGAGGCTTCGGCACACGCTGCCCTAGATTTCACTGCGGCCCTGGCAGAGCCAGGCTCCTGCCCAAGCCCTCTGCAGAGCGCTGAGGGGAAGGAAGGTTGCTGCTGGGAAGGCTGCAGCAGCCCAAAGGGCTGGGATGAGTTTCCTTGCCTCACTGGAAATGCCCGGTGATCCTCAGGCCAGGCAAAAAGATCTGGTAAGAAGAATGGCTCTGTTCTGCACCCTGAGGTCAGGCGGTGCATCCGGCACAGCTCGGCCTTTGCCCTGCACAGCTGGGAGAAATGCCCTGGGGTCATCACGGAAACTGAGGGGGGAAAGGGATTTTTCCAGTGGAGAGATTCTCAGCCCAGCACCTCTGCAGATCTGAAGCAAGGAGCAGATTCTAATGCCTGCAAGCCCCAGGGAGGCTGTGCTACTGAAGCAGCTGCTTGCTTTCCTTCCTAGGGACCTGGCGTCACCCGCCGAGAGCCTGCTCCTGCCAGCCACCTTCAGGCTCCAAACCTGTCCCTTCTCCCTGTTCCATGATTGCAGGGAGCGGGACCATGGGTCTGGGGCCATGCGGGTGGAAGGGGCTGGGGTGAGATGTGTGTGGATCGCTGCCTCCAGCCGGAGCGGGATGGCCTCATGCTGCACGGGAGGAGAGCTGCAGCGAGGCCATCCATGTGTTAGGTGGGGGTTAAATAGCCTTTCCTTGCTGGAAGCTGGGTTGTGGTGAGCGACTGTTTGCAGCCCTCCCTCCCTCTTGCCACTCAGACAAAGGACAGGAAGGCAGGGGGAGGGGATGCGACTGTATCTGGGTTATCGGGACAGAGTAGATGTTAGTCCCCACTACCTGAGCCCCTAAGGGACCTGCAGGGCCACCTCTGTCCCCAGCTGGCTGCTGCAAATGTCAGAGGCAGGCAGATGTGAAGGGTGTGCTGCAGTAGAGGTGTCTGCTGCTGGCCATGTACACCGGCCTTCCAGGGAGAGGTTTTGGGGTGGATCAGTGGGTGTCAGAAGCAGGAGCTAGCTGGGACCTCTCTGAGCACCCGTTGCCCTTCTGGCCCTGCCTGCCCCAGCCCCAGATGCTGCACCTCTCCCTGCTCCGCAGCCGAGTGGAGCATCTCCTGTAAGCCAGAGGTGATCCCCTGGCAGCCCAGCCCGGGCCACCTCCCACTGGGAACCGGGCAGCAGAGGTATCACCAGCAACCGCCCTCTTAAATGAGTTTCGCTTAGCAGACAGAACAAAGCAGCAGGGAAAAGGGTGGCAATGCAAACAGCGGATGTAAGTGGTTAACCTTGGCTAACCCTCTATTCATCATCAGCTGTACTGGCTGTAGTGCCCTATCATGTATTCATTACAGAGGACAGCTGGAGGGGCTATGGGATGTGCCTAGGATGCATAATGCTACCCCTTGACCAGTCGGTCAGAGCGCTTAATGAGGCTTCATAGCAGCATTAGCGTTACTGCACGTAAAACAGAGCCATTCCCACGAGACCAGGTAGACACATTTCATGTCTCAAGGTGCCTCTCACAGCTCTGGCCCTGGTTTTGCACACCCTGACCACCCCGTCAGGCTGTTCCTCAGTTGGCTCCTTGGATTCCTCTGTGGGAGTCAAGAGGTGGAAAATCGTGTGCAGAAATCTGAGCCCTTGGGTACCTCTTTGCAAAATGGGGGCTTCCCTTCCTGAGGCTGTATGGGAAGGCACCCCACACAGGGAGGAAGGCAAGCGACTGAGAGGAGAAAGGGAGGTTGTCTACGCCAAGACCTTGAATGTCCAAAATGAAAACACCCAGGGCGACATCACCAGTATAAAATCCAGGAAATATTTAAGAAGACTTCTGGAGATCTTTTCTCCTGGTCTCAGGGCTTTTTATAAGTGCTCAGGATCCTGACTCTGAAATATCTGCTCCAGCCACTGCAAGCTCCTGGCTCCAGCAGCAAAGCCTGCAAAGGGGTGGCCACGTATTGTGATGTCCACAGCAGAGTTAGCAACATTTGCTGGCTCTGAGCAAAGCATACCCTCGGTGAGACTGAGGGGTGAGTGATAAACCTCTTAGTGAGCCTTGAGGTTGGCTGCCAGCAACTTCCCTCCTTCCTCCTCCCTATCTAAGAACAAGGAGTTGAAGGAATAAAGGAGAGCGCAACAGACTACCTGAGGACAAGCTACTGCCTGGGCAGCAAAGGGATCGCAGCCTGCATGGCCTAGGTCCTGCACCCATCCCATTTAGCTGCTCGGCTGGGCTTTCTTCCCACCTCAACCTATTCCCTGTCCACCTCCGGGGTTTATTTGCCCCCATTACTGCAGTAGCCAAGTGCCTCACTGGGGCCACAGCCCCCTGCCCTACATCCCCTCATCATTCCCTTCCTCCCTCTCTCCTCTCCCACTCTGGGGTAGGTGGGATCCCAGCAGGGCTGTGTGGGGTGTGCACTGGAGGATGCTGCAGCAGGATGAGGGGCACGGCACAGCCACACGACTACGGTACAGGTGGCATGGGGCAGCCCGGGAGAGGATGAGTGAAGGGCAGGGTGCAGGAGAGTCGGCTGGCTTGGCCCTCCGTGCTGTGCCAGAGAGATGGGCTTTCCTGGCTGGCAGCAGCTTTGAGAAAGCTGGAAAAAGACAACAGGAGCCTCAGGGGATGCTTTGTCAGCAGGGAAGGCCCAGACTAGCTCTGACGGGTGTAAGAGCGGATTGCAGCTGAGAAGTGCTCAGCTCGGCAGGCTGCCTCCTCCGGCTGCTGCCCGTCAGCATGAGGTGCTCCAAATTGCCAGCCTGGCTCAAGCCAATGGTCTGTCTTGTGCTCTGGTCCCCCCAGGGTGCTGCTCACTGCTTCAGGAGAGGGTGATGATAGCTCAGAGTGCCTCTGCTCGGTGGGGAAGAGCAGGACGGGGGGGCCATCCTCTGGCAGACCTCTCCTCTGTGGGCAAGGTGGAATGGAGGTGGCACGAGATCCTTTGGACGTTACCCACGGTGCTGTGCGCAGGTGGCTGCGCTGCCGTCCTCTCACACAGAGGGAAGATCCTTTCTCCCTGTGTAGCATAAAAGACTTCCCAAGCAGTGTAAAGGGAGCTGGGTGGAGGCACCCTTTTCCTTGCCAAGGGTGGCCCTTCCGCAAGGTCTACCCCCCGCATACGACAGTGGGATATTAAAGCTTATATATAAAATGTAAATTTTTCCCTGTGTAGAGCAGCCCTTTGTGTCTGCACAGGAGCTTTGATGTGGGAATGCTAGGCAGGGTCGCCAGCCAGCCATGCAGCCTGTTACAGCCTAACCTTGTCCTTGAACAAAATCTCTCTGACCTCTCCCCAACCCTTGTCTCTGCCTGGCCTGGCTGAGCTGTCATGGGGACCCAGGACTGGTGCTGTCAGTGTCCCCAGCCCTGTGACCTCTGAGTTGTCTTCCTCTCCAAGAGGCACATGCCACCCACCAAATGGCAGCCCTGCTGCTCATGTGCTCCTCTGCAGCCAGCGGGTTCTGCTGAGAGGAGCGAAAAACTCCACCAAAACGATGGAAAGGGATAATTTAGTGTGAGATATTTGAACTGAAGTGGCATCCAAAACAAGCGGAGTGCTTACCAAGCAAAAACGCATGCTGTCCCTGTCCTGGAAAAATAACCATCTAATGAGACAAAGCATGGGGGAGTCAAATTAGAGTGGGAGAGGCTCTAGTTTGCAGCTGGTTTGTATATGGAAGGTATTTAATTCCCATCCCCTTCATCTTCCTTTCTAGATTCATCCCTCACGCTTCCCTTCCCCACCAATTACAGCTTTTCTTCCTCCCAGCGGGTGGGAGCTGCTCACTAATGAGACAAGAGACAGACATAAATGGACGAGGCCCATCCCAAGCAGTGTGTGCCATCACCCAAAAAAGAGTTGGGGAAGCCGGAAAGCCCGCAGGACCTTTCTTTTTGCTTGTTTGTTTTACATGGAAGAACCCAGGAGGGGGAGGCAAGGGGGGAAAGGTGCAGATGAGGTTTATTGATCACGATGATTAGTTTCTTGAGCATGACAAAAACCATTGATCCACGGGCAGGAGGCGAGCGTGGAGGCTGTGGCCATGCTTTGAATTTCCACCACTGCCTTCCTCTGAGGAACTCAGCCTGCACAGCACAGCCAGTAACGCAGCCGCCCCTGGCAAGGGCCAAGCTTGCAAGTCCTCATGGTAAATCCCAAACTGTTTCAATGCTGGGACTTGACACATGATAATTTTTGAAAGTCTGTTCCATCATAAATTTCATGCTAAACTCGGAGAGGAAAAACACTGGTGATCCTGGTGAGAACTGGGAGACAAAAATGAGGAGGCACACACAGAGCTTTGGGCACCCGATTAGGAGCCCAGCGAGCTTCACTGCGTCTGCTTCTGCTGTTTGGAGGTATCCACCAATATGCTGCATGCTCAACAAGCCCCACTTCTCCACCTCCTCATCTGGAGTGATACATAGAAGAGCGTGCTGGAAACTCAAGTAGATGTTCCTCCATGAAGAGCCTTACTGGTGAAATCTTACCGTGCAGTCATTCTCAGTAGCCCTTGAAATGGGTGCTCAAAGCTGTCCTCAGGCCCTGTGACAGGTCAGCAGGGAGGTCCTCATTACACCTCAATGATGATTTTTCAATCTTTTTCCCCATTCAGGGCCAGTGGAGAGCAAAAACGAAGCAGCCATGTCTGAGCTGGTCCCAGAGCCGCGACAAAAACCAGTCGTACCGATGAAACCCATGGGCATTAACGCCAACTTGCTGGGATACATCGGTATTGACACCATCATTGAGCAGATGCGCAAGAAAACCATGAAGACAGGTTTCGACTTCAACATCATGGTTGTAGGTAGGCAGGGACCAGCTGAGGTACTGGGAACCATGGCCAGGGACTGTCCTATGAGGCCAGGTGGGTGAGTGAGCCCTGCAGGGAGGGCATGAGGGAGCAGACAGTGCTTGCTCTGGGGGAAAGGAGAGCCTGCACAAGGCAAGGAGACACCTACAGCCCCTTTCCCTGCCAGCCTGGCTCTGTCCCCTGGGTCTGCTGTCATCGCTGGGCTGTAGCAGATGTCACGAGCTTCCTCTTTGCAATCCTCAGGTCAGAGCGGACTGGGAAAGTCGACATTGGTGAACACCCTCTTCAAATCCCAGGTGAGCCGCAAATCTTCAGGCTGGAATCGGGAGGAGAAGATCCCCAAGACAGTGGAGATCAAAGCCATTGGGCATGGTAAGAGCCAGGCTGCTGGGGTGGAGGCAATACTGATGCTTCAGCACAGTCTTGCAGAAGACCCCGGTAGTCTATACAAACAGTTCTTTGCTGTTAGGCAGCCCTTTCTCCACGGGAAGCTAAAGGACAAGTGCTGGTTTTAGATGGCCTCAGAGCCAGACAAGGCTTTTCTTAAACAGCAATGCCACTGATGCCACAGCCAAAAGCAAGGAGTAGAAAAAGAGTTATAGTTATTTCTTCTGCCAAGACATTAGTCTACATGTGTGAATTAAGTCTTGCTGTAAGTCATTCCCACCTGCAGACGCTTAATGATGTATACAAATTGCATTGGTGAGTCCCATTCCAAGCCTGATGGAGCACATCTCCTTGTGGCAAAGCATCAGCACAGCTTCTACACCAGTGCAGAGTAACGAGCATCATTTCAGATTCAGGATGATGCACTGGAGGGGAGGACAAGTTGTGTAAGGTAGGTACTACCTCCGGGACACAGACTGAGCACAAATCCATTTTCCTGTGGCAGAGTGGTATAAGGTGGCTTTGATGCAAAGGTTACCAAAATTTGGGGTCAGAAATGCAAGTGGGAGTCACAACTGTTGAGGCATGACCCAGCCTGGCCTGGTCATGCTTGCTGGGCAGGGAGGAGGGCAGAGCGCTCTTGTTCCCTTGTAGGGCACAGAGACATGCTTCATGATGGTCCCCAAGGAGGCGTATGATTGTTTGCAATTTCTTCCCCAGTCATTGAAGAAGGTGGTGTCAAAATGAAGCTGACAGTGATCGACACGCCGGGATTTGGGGACCAGATCAACAATGAGAACTGGTGAGTTTTACATGGTCAAGGCCTTGTGTCCCAGAAAGGGCTGGAGTTCAGATGGTATCTGGAGTGACTCTCATCTACTTGGCCTGGAAAGTGTCTGGCATCCTATTGCAGTTGGGGGCCCAGTAATGGGGATGTGGAATTGTGAACGCCATGGGTCTGTGTGCATGCTCGGGGGTATGCACACATTACATAGCAAATGCCTATTTCTGTGCCCAGTTACAGAAACTCTTAAACATCTCTGTTGATGGCAAGATGCTTGTGGTGGGTATTTTTTATGCCTGAGCCTGCTTTGCTGCTGTCAGAGCAGGGAACACCGTAGGCAGGAACATGAGGAGATTTGTACCTGTCTATTCATCTCTCTCTCCCACCTTAACAGCTGGGAGCCTATTGAGAAATACATCAATGAGCAATATGAAAAATTTTTGAAAGAGGAGGTGAATATTGCAAGGAAGAAACGAATTCCAGACACGCGAGTGCACTGCTGCCTCTACTTCATCTCCCCCACGGGCCACTCGTACGTACACAGTCCCTCGTCCTTCCTCAAGCCCTTGGTGCCTCCATGCCAGATATATACCCTGCACTGCTCCGTCTCAGCCACAGACCCAGGGGTCCTGCCTGCAGGGCTGGCCACTGTTTAGCTTAACTTCGGGTGCTGCGGGGCTTGAAGGGGTCTAGGATAACAAGGGCAGGAGAAACGCCACTGTGTTTTTTGGGAGAGGGCAGGATGGACGGGAAAAAGGAGATGAGAGTATGGTGGCAGCAAGCAGGGTACGCACAAGGGAAGTTTCATTGATTTCCCTGATGCTGGGAGAGTCACTAGGATGAAAGGAGAGGAGGGTAAAGTGACCCCTTCCATGTTGTTCCCTCTTGCACTGCAGCCTGCGGCCTTTGGACCTGGAGTTCATGAAACATCTCAGCAAGGTAGTGAACATCATCCCGGTTATTGCCAAGGCTGACACCATGACCTTGGAGGAGAAGACCGAATTCAAACAAAGAGTGAGTATCTCCTCTCCTGCATGGGATCTTTCCCTGACCCACCTTGGAGGTAGGAGAAATGAGCGGTATCCTTCTTCCTGGGATTGCAGCGCAGTCCCCAGAGCATGCACAGAGTCCAACGCTGGGTTGGTGTGTAAGTCCTGAAGATGCAGCTGTTTATGGCTCTAAGGGTATCTGTTACAGGGAGAAAAAACGTGTGTATCCCCGTGACATCTCATGATATGCTCTGTCATGGGAACTGCAGAGCCAGACAAGTAACTGGGGTTGGGGAGGAATGAGTCATCATTGCTGCCGTGTGTCCTCATTTTGCTGCACGCTTCCCTGGGGACAATCCCTTCAGCCCCTGCTGCTGGAATGATGTCCCAGATGTGTTTGCCCGGCCGTCCCACCTGCCTTCCCTTCAGGTTTGTGTTGCTTTGTGCTTCAAAATGTCTCTCTGCCCAGGTGCGCAAAGAGCTAGAAGTAAATGGGATCGAGTTTTACCCCCAGAAAGAATTCGATGAGGACTTGGAGGATAAAACAGAGAACGACAAAATCAGGGTAGGAAACATTTTATTATGGGAGAGGAAGAGGGGATGAGGGCTGGTCGTATTTAACAAGTGTAAGACAGACATGTGTCACTAGAAGGTTTTAAGTGCTTCGTGGTCCCTGAATGAAAGATGCAATGGATGTAATGGATGGTCACTCCTCCTTCCCAGCTTAATTTGTCCCTGTCATTACTACAGGGTGCTATGAAGGCTGAGTGAGGAAGGACTATGTGTCACCTCCTCTTGCTGAATGCTCTGTTTGGCCACCGTTAAGGATCAAAGGGCCCTGGTGTGTGGCTGATGTCCAGCCTCTGTCCCAAACAACTCCCCCAGGAGCCCTCTCATCTGCCTACCAAACTTGACCTGAAAAGCAGTCCAGTTCTTTGCTCCCCCAGCCCCTGTGAGAAGGCTTGTCCCATCCTTCCCTCCTCAGAGCCTTAGAAACTGTCTCCTAATTTCCAGCCTGTGTTTGTTCATGGCCAGGTTGTACCCAGGATTATATCTGCGTTCTTGTGCCAACACTGACTCAAGCAGTTCTCCTACCTAGTGGTCCCCTCCACCACTCAAAGCATTTATAGAGAAGCGTATTATCCTTTGCTGACCTTCTGGTCAGCTGAAGGAGACAAGCTCCTTTGGATGAGCTTCCCATTCCTCACCAGTCCATGCTCCTAGTCACTTTTTTCTGCGCCTGCTCCAGTTTGGTTTGATTTTCTAGCACTGGTGCTGGTACCCCATGCTCCCCCGTCTCTTCTGAGATCTGAACTGCTAAGCCCGTGGACTACATGTGCTTTTTAAACAATTGCATCACACTGGTGGCTCGTGGTCATCTTGTGACTGACTAGCACATGGGGTCCTTCCACTCCTTCAGTCGCTGCTTGTTCATGAGCTCCGAAGTCATAGCAGAAACTCTTGATGTTATTTCCTAAGTGCTGTTCTTTGTACCTCAAACTAACATCTTCCCGGATAATAACCCAGTCTACCTTTGTACTGACAATACCTCTTGGCCTTGTGATGCTAGTGCATTTAACTATCCCGCTCATCATTTTTGTGGCTAGGCCATTCATGAAAACAGATTGGTCTCCGTGGCAGTCCTCAAGAAACTCCAGGAGTCTTGCATTGCAGCCTGACACTTGCCCTTTCAACTCCCCCAGCTGTCACAGCCCCAACAGAAATTCCCACCTACCCCATCTTAATTAATAATTTCCCACTTGGCAATACATCACACATTCTGGAGAAGACTAGATGGGTTTTGCTTCTTCTCCAAACTGTTACTGGTTTTGAGGAGGGCACCGCATTTTGTTCTGCACTTCAACATCATTGCCCTAGGTTTGGATAGTCTTACACATAAGAAATAAACTGCTTTTTAATCTCCGCTCCTGTGGTAATTGCAGTCCCTTCCCAGGCCCAGGGACATCTATAAAGCAGAGCAAATCTATGAACATCTGCACAACCTTATGGATAGCAGGGTCTCCTGCACTCTGGAAACAGATGGTTTCTCCCTGTGTTTAGAGATAATCTGGGTCCCCAATAGCCTCACCTACTGTCCCACTTCCCAGGAAAGCTGCACCCCTACCCCATTTCTGGCCTTCCTCAGTACAACCATTTCAGCCATTAAACTTCTTGAATGTTCATGTGTCTTGTTGGGGAGGATTATTTTGAGGCCTCTCCTTCTTCTGGTGAAGAACTACAAATGCGGTGAGAAATGCTCACTGCAAACTATCAGCCCTGGGCTGACAGACTCTCTCCTGGTTATGCCAAGGTACATCTTCTCTGGTCATCCCCCTCTTCAGAAATGCTGGAGATGGGTGCAGAAAAGTTCTGCCCCCTGCTCCAGAGCCCTTGGCACTGCTGCAAGGTATCCACCAAGGATACCTTGCACCAGGGGGTGCAAGGACACCTGTAAAGCAAGGGCCCAAAATGCTAGGGATAGCACTGACAGGTGAAGAGGACAGCCAGTGAAGTGTTGCTCTGGAGAACTTCTTCCCTTGGAAAAGGCCTTGTGTTTGGTGAGCTGAGAGGAGGAAAGGTGGATGGGGAACAGTGATGGTGCTGCTCTCTGGAATGGGTTCAATAGGTCTCTCCACATGTCTCTCCCCAGCAGGAAAGCATGCCCTTCGCAGTGGTGGGCAGTGATAAGGAGTACCAAGTGAATGGCAAAAGAGTCCTGGGCAGGAAAACACCTTGGGGAATCATTGAAGGTAAAAAAACCCTTGCTCCTGGGAGCTGGAAGTACCTCTGGTGTCCAGATAACATGTCCCATGGCTACCTTCACATCCCTTTTGTGATAAACTTTTTGAAACCAAGCAAGAGGAGAATTCTCAAGTAGCTCTCCTGGGAGGGAACTGCCAAGGTCAATGCGGTACCACTACCGCCAACTGGCAGAAGTTGGAGCCACTCCGAACACCACACTGTGTGAAGTTGAGCTCCTGAGGTTGCCTTGGTTTTCAAATGAAAATTCACATGTGACTGCTCAGCCCCTCTTAGCATGTCTCCTCACTGCCTGACAGTGCGGCGTTCAGACAACTGTCTGTCCTTTCGGAAGTGTGCAGGCTCTGCCCACCTGGAACCTGCCCCATGGCAATGACCTTCCCATGCTCTGTAACCACAAAAAGGTTGTTGAAAAAATCAAATATAACAATTGCTTGCTTTCTTTTCAGTGGAAAACCTCACTCACTGTGAATTTGCCCTACTTCGAGATTTTGTCATCAGGTAAGGCCATGGTCATGTACCAGTTTGCTCTTGATGAGCAGGGAGTCTTCCTGAGACCCTCTTAGAGTGAAATAGCCCCTATGGAAAGGAAAATAAAGTACATTTCAGGCAGTGAAAGCTTATGTGGGGTAGGGTTGGATTGACTTAAGGGGTAGATACTCTAGTGCCTCTCTTAGTGACATGACCACTATGTCAAGTAGGTGCCACTTTTCATTTATAAGCATTCATTTATAAACAGGTCTGGGCTGGAGTCAGTGAGAAAGAGGCCGCTACCACATCCTAGACCACGTGTCCTACCAGGCTGAGGGATGTGCTGGAACATATGACCTGGAAGTGAAAAATTCCATATTTCATTCAGCTTTCATTGTCCTATCTTATTTCTACTCTGTTTCATAAAGTTGTCTCAGCACAAGTGATATCTGCCCCAAATTCTGTAGAAGAGCTGCAGATCCAGAGTGACCTCTGTTCCCTATAAATACAATAAGGTTTTAAAACAACACCGAAAATAAGGGAAACACACTTCAAAGCCAGAGCCCTGCGGCTCATTCCCCCTGTGGGTATGGTGGTATTGAGACACTTGGCCAGGTACAATGCTTTGACATCACCCCACTGCCCTCTTTTTGTTCTGTGATACCTTCTGCAGCAGACATGTTTTCCCTAAGTCTTCCAGTAAAAACATCCTAACCAAGTGATCATCACAAAGCACAGAGCAATCCAAGCCCACAGGCTTTCTGTGGAGGTTAGGGACAATGCTCACAGCAGTGTTCTGCAGGTTATGCTCTGCAGTGAACCTGATACACCCTCCTGGTGCTTCCTTGTCTCACCGCCACTTCAGATGCAGCAGCCCATGTCTGCTCTGACACACCAGGACGGCCAGTAGCTGTCCCCCTGGCACAGGTGTGAGAGGGGCAGGACGCTGGCAAGCACAGCCAGGGATTTCAGACTATATCCTGCACCCTGCCTATGTGTTCTTGAATGCTGATGCTCCAGCTCTCAGTTCTGTATGATGGCACCCATGCTATCCATGCAGAAAGAGGGGTACGCTCTTTAGCCAGGCTGACTGAAGAAATCTTCCATTTATCTCGGGGAATAAAATGATCATCAGAAGATTAATACTGACTGTGCTGATATTGGTTATCGTATCCTCTTTCCAACCCCGTCTTCACTTTGCCCCCTACAGGACCCACCTTCAGGACCTAAAAGAAGTGACCCACAACATCCACTATGAGACCTACAGGGCCAAGCGGCTGAATGACAACGGAGGGCTGCCCCCCATGACTGTCGAGACAGAGGAAAACCATGAAAGTAACCTGTGAATGACACCCCCCCCATGTCACCCAGTGTCTCTGGATACAACAACCCACCCCTGCTACCCTTGACTCTACCACGGGCCTGTGTCTGAAGCATGTGGCGCATCCTCCGTGTGCGTGAGAGGGCGCGAGCGTGAGTGCGTGCGTGTGTGCGTGTGCCTACCTATGTGCCGGAGAGGGACCAAAGGCGTCTCCCCCGTCCTTCCCAGAGTGTCCTCATTCTCAGTTGGTTTTTTGCACAGCGGACTGTCCGTCATCTTCCTTTCTCTCATTCCCGTCTCAGCTGTGTGTCTTGCCTGGGGGAAATAGGGATGGGGGGAAAGGATTTCTGGGGGCAGGAGGGCTTCGGAGGTGGGAGGTGTGGGGCATGCTGTGGTCCTGTTTTTATCACTTGGAGACATGGCAAGGGGAGACTCCAGCAGAGATGGTGGAGTTGGTGCATGCAGTGTCTTCAAGTGATGGCAGCAGAGATTTCTCTTGTGTCCTCAGTGGGTGGGAAGGCAGCTGGTTGGTCTGAGGGCATGGTGGCCCAGCATTTTATCCCCATTTCTTGCTGTGGCTTCCCAAGGCAAAACGGCAGCTTGGACGTGGATAGATGGGAGAAGTGACAGAATTACATGTTTTGCGGTTCAGGGGAAGTGAACAGTGGGAGGAGACAGAATTAGTTCTTGGGCTGTAGCATCAATATTTGAGAGGCATCAAAGTACCCAGGGAAAATAGCCATATTTTCCAAAAGAAGCAAAGCCCAGAGGAAAAGAACGTGTTCCTGCTGCAGAAGGTGCATTTGCCCTGCCCAGCGCTAAGATCAAAAGCCATGCTTGTGTCCCAGGCTTTTGATCCTGTGCAGATCAGACCAAGCTGTCCTGAGGTCACCCCACCTCATCCCCCATTGCAGCAGTCTCTCTCCACCAGTGCGGAGCAGGTCCCGGCCGAACCTTTCCCCCACGACACGGCCCCTGCTGTGGAAGCACAGGGAAGACAGTGCCACAGGGGTACCCTGCCAGGAGCTCCCCCAGGGAGAGCCCCTCTTGGCACAGGGTCTTTGGGATCTTGGAGGAGTGCAAAGAGCCGTGGATTGAGAAGCAGTGGGCCAGGGTGCCTCCCTGGGTCTCCACCGATGGTGGGAACATAGGAGATACCTCTTCCTCACCGAAATGGCTGCGTTTGCTACTCCAGCAGTCTCAGCTCGTGCTGCTCCTCCGCCCTCCTACTGCCCTCCCAGCTTCCATGTCCTCCTCTCCTGTGCTTTTGTCCTCATTCCCTTTTAGCCCTCCATAGCCTTCTTCCTTCCTTTCTTTCTCTGTCTCACTTTCTCTGCTCTAGACCCTTTCTCTCTCTCCTTCATTTCTCCGAGTACTTGAACCTTCCTCTTCTCCAGGCTGTTTCCTCCCTCTCCCAAGCTCCCACACCTCCTTGTCAATGTGCTTTTGTGTCCTGTTGAGAAGCTGTCTGTTTTACCTTCCCCTGGAGGGGACAGGGAGGGAGGTGAAGACCCAGGAGCAGAAAGAGGCACAGCTTTACTGAAGACTATATGCTTGTGTCTAGCCGCTGTCAGCTCTTTTCTGGATGTCCCTGAGCCAGGTGGAAAGCGTTAGGTCTGGCTGGGCAGAAGGGAGGAGGGGAGAAAATCACAGATGTCCTGAGGTTGGCAGTGTCTGCCTGTCCACCTAGCATGTCACGTGGCTGGCAGGGGTTGTCACCTCCAGGAGAATAGCAGGTTGCACTTAAAATGCACATGCAGAATGCCATGGCACGGGACGGCGGTGCTGCAAGTAAGGGGAAGTGCAGTAGGTTTGGGACGGGGGTTGGAAAGGCTGGCACGGGAGGGAGGAAGAGGTCCCAGCAAGGGAACAGCAGAGAAGGACTCAAGCCAGGACTGAGGTTGGTTGACAAAGCTGCACAGGGGTCAGGGCTGGGAAGAGGGTGCTCCAAGCCTTAGCAAAACTGTCTAAGCATATGTCCATCTTGTGGCTTTCTCTGGTGCTGTCACTGCAAAGCAAAGGTCTTTTTGCTCTCACTCCTAACCTGTCCACCCAAATCAGCCATTCTCAGCACCGCGAGGACGTGAGGGCCATAGCGGCTCTTTGCAGTCCTTTCACCACCCACATTCATGGCTCCCGGTGTTCCTGTATGCAGCGTGTGCATATAGCCTTGCACCCGCCTTCCCACCTGCACCAGGCCTCCTCGGCCCCACAGAGAACAAAAGCCTCGTCACTGGTGCCAGCAGCCATACCACGGACCCTGAAGAAACCATCCTGCTACGCTGCTACCCATCCCGCCACCCACGCTGGCCATCCACAGCCCAACGCGGGGTCAAACTCTCTTCCCAGGTTGTCTCCACCAGCCGGCCAGGCGTGGAGGCGTCCCCAGCATCACCAGCTGCCAGAAGCACCTCCTCAGCCCCCTCAGCTGTGGCTGCTCCTGCCTATCCCCTACATAATGTTTTAAACCCAGCGCAATAGGAAAGACTTCCTCAGGGCTCCTCTTCTTCACTGCACTGAAGCACGAAGCCACGCTCCGTCGTCTTCAGCGGGGGCGTGCGGAGGTGTTCCCTGCACTTGCGTTCTCACACAGCTCTTTGGTGGCCATCCGACTGCTCTAGAGGAACTCTCTTGCCACTGGGCTGCGTCACCCTGGGCTGCGGTATGGTCATTTCTACGACTTTTGGGCCCCAACAAGGGTTATGGCAGAGAGCCACTGCTGCCCTGCTTAATGAAAGCAAAGCACACCCCATGCAACAGAAGAGAGAGATTTTCCTTTGCCTGTCACATGGATTGCAACGACAAGGCTGTGTGTTTTGCCCTATAGGTTTAGGAATTTTTGTTTGTTTGTAATAAGGTGTTTTTTAAGCTCTGCTCTATAATTTCCTGTCAGATCGTGGACTACTTCTAACGGATCCACAAAAGCTTGCTGAGAAAAGCAAGCTCAGGTATTCCTCACTGCCATCTGCTCATGCAAATATCCTACCGGTATCTGCGTATCTGCCAGAAAGGCAAATACCAAAAATTTCCCATGTTGCGTGACAGCAGAAGATACCGTTGGGAAAAAGTCTCTGCCGATGGATAAGCTGGGAAAAGCCTGAACGGATCCTAGCTCTCGCGTGCCACCAGCTGAGCCCAGGATGACCACAGCACGTCAGGTGTTCCCCTCGGAGATATCACTCGAACAGTATCGCGGGGGGGAGAGGCTAAATTTTTCCCCAGAGGTCCCCACTTGGTGCGCTCAGAGGCTCACAAACTCTTCACCACGTAGGCCATTCACCAGAAAAATTTTGCAACGCATGGTGAATCCCAAAGGTTTTTTTTTTTTTTTTTTTTTTTTTTTTTTTTTTTTTTTTTTTTTTTTACATTGGACAAATTCCATTTAGGCTCAGACGGTAACGAGCATCAGGGCAGGCGCGGTTATGCTGCGAGCAGAGAGAGCAAGAAGAGCGAGCAGCGCGACGCGTAGGCACTCGTATTTGTGGTTAGTCGTGAGGACGAGCTAATGACGGTTCACGACGGTTCGCAAGCAGGCGTCTCGGGGGAAAGGCTGCCCAAGACGCGCTGCCGGCGCCGCTCCCACCCCAGCAGAGGCCTCGGGAAGCGGCGCTGCGAGGGTGACGCCAACCGGGGACGGCAAAAACCGCGCTCGGGCCGGGCGCCGGCCCGGGGGGTGCAGGGAAAGCGCCCTCCCCGGCCGCCTCGGGCCCAGCCGGCA